GATAACAAAGTTATGAGTAAATTTAATTTGGCGTATGAAGGGCCATATATAATAGCAGCCGTACCATTTGACAATGTATATACTTTAGCAAACCCAGAAACAAATGAAATTAGGGGGAAATTTTAATGCTATTCATTTATTAAAATGTTTTAAATAATAGGTTTGGCTTATATACATTCTAAAATAAATACTGTAATATAATTTGGTCCCGTGGGTGGCCGTTTGAAAAAAAAATATTGATTAAAATTATTAAAATTATGAGCAAGACACAAATTAATTAAAAATAAGAAAATGTTGTAATAATTTTATTAATAACTATCTGTAAATATAGATTGTAAGATAATTTTGTAAAATATGTTTTTATTGAATAAATTTGGGGAGTTGGGTCAGGGTGAATGGCTCAATCACATTTATCCTGTGGGTGTGTAGCATCTGATTTTAACTCATAATCAAAATATTGTACATATAAAGAAAGCATTGCTGAATAATTAAAAATATATTTTAAAGATTTTAAATGCAAGTCAAAAACTAAAGAGAACCACTATATTAACAACATAAATACAATACGTTTATCAAGATAACGATTTATGGTTTATCGCATTGGGATAGATGTGGTTGAAGGGGTGTGTGGCGGCGGCCATTCCCTGGGGTAGGTGGGATGAAAATATATACTGAATTGTAACAGATTGAAAGAGGAAAGAACAGATACACATAAATTCAAAATTTTGAGTGTAGTGCATATGCTCTCAATATAGTAAAATTTTATATCAACGACTTCACTGTGTGGGTCATTAACATAAAATTTGGGGGTAAATTGTGACGGCCCAATATTATTATTAATAATTAAATTCAATATAAAGTGGCGTCAAAAATAGTCTTAAAAGATATATATATTAAGCAATTAAGTTAAATTAATAAACATAAAGTTAATATATTTCAGACATTATCCTAATAACATAGTATATTAAAGGCAAAATTATTGTTTTTCGTAATAAATAAATTTATTTAAAAACTTGAAAAAATATTTAAAATAAGATAAATAATAGAAATACAAGTCAAAAAATATTATAAAATTAAGTTAAATAACGTTTATAAGATAATTAGAAAGTTTGTTAAAAATTGTTCAAGTCATGGGAGGTGTTCGTGTATAAAAGAAAATTTTTCTAAGTTGTGGAAGGAGTTCACGTATAGATGAAAGTTCATGTATTAAAGAAAATTTTCCTAAGTTATGGAAGGTGTTCACGTATAGATGTCTTGTATGGAGGAAGCTGTCGGAGGTACATACCTGCAGTTGTACATATATATGGGGTGGTCGGGAGCCCGACTGCCTGAAGTACTGTAGCACAATGACTGGTCCTATATTAGGGACTTATGATATTAAACTCAATGATACAAAAGCAATACTATAGAATGTATTCATGATGAATTTGTATTACAATAGTAGTGTCGTGGGTTCGAACCCTATATATTAATGACTTATGAAAGTAAGGTCTATGATACAAAAGCAATACTATAGAAGGTCTCTATGATTAATATGCATTACAATAGTAGGGTTGTCTGTTCGAACCCTATATATGAATGACTTATGAAAGTAAGGTCTATGATACAAAAGCATTATTATTGAAGGTCTCCTTGATGCATAAGCATTGTATGGGGTGGTCGGGTGACTGACTGCTCCTAGTACTGTAGCAAAATGACTAGTCCTTATTAGGGACTTGAAAAGGAATATTATGGTGGCGTGTGTGCTGCTTCACGAGCAATTGGTCCGAGGTAAACTTGGACTCGCTAACCGATGTGTCCTAGACATATCATCTTAGTGCCGGTGGTAAGCGGGTTTGTTGTAGCAATACGGCTTTCCCGTGGACATCGCACACCCATACCGGTTGTGGGCGGCGTCGTAGCGCATAGCGATGCGTCGTCTATCTTTCGGATTGGGAAGATGAGTGTGTTTGGTAGCACTTTTAAGTGTAACAGGCATACTCAACTTCATATCTTAGTGCATTAGCGCTATGATACATGGAGTTTTGTCCACTGGCGTCTTAGTAGCGTGCTACTATGATACGTTGGTGCAGTTTTATATAACAACAATCTTAGTGCCGGTGGTAAGCGGGTTTGTTGTAGCAATACGGCTTTCCTGTGGACATCGCACACCCATACCGTTTTGGGCGACGTCGTTGCGCATAGCGATGTGTCGTCTATCTTTCGGATGGGGATGAAGAGTGTGTTTGGTAGCACTTTTAAGTGTAACAGGCATACTCAACTTCATGTCTTAGTGCATTAGCGCTATGATACGTGGAGTTTTGTTCATTGGCGTCTTAGTAGCGTGCTACTATGATACGTTGGTGATATTTTTTATATAACAACAATACCAACTTTGTTACCAAAGTCGATAGGGATCATGTTGGGTGTGTTGTGAAGGGGCGCCACCCGTATGATAGTTGCATTGATGCTTACTGCTACTTGCGGTATTGCGTCTTGTGATGGATCTGCGGGTGTGCTGCGCCTGATTCGACGCATTCTTGTGGTTCTGGTCGATGGAGGTATACAATTAACATCTTAGTGCCGGTGGTAAGCGGGTTTGTTGTAGCAATACGGCTTTCCCGTGGCCATCGCACACCCATACCGTTTGTGGGCGACATCGTTGCGCATAGCGATGTGTCGTCTATCTTTCGGATTGGGATGATGAGTGTGTTTGGTAGCACTTTTAAGTGTAGCAGGCATACTCAACTTCATGTCTTAGTGCATTAGCGCTATGATACGTGGAGTTTTGTTCATTGGCGTCTTAGTAGCGTGCTACTATGATACGTTGGTGATATTTTTTATATAACAACAATACCAACTTTGTTACCAAAGTCGATAGGGATCATATGGGTGTGTTGTGAGGGGGCGCCATCCGTATGATAGTTGCATTTATGCTTACTGCTACTTGCGGTATTGCGTCTTGTGATGGATCTGCGGGTGTGCTGCGCCTGATCCGACGCATTCTTATGGTTCTGGTCGATGGAGGTATGCGGGTGGTGATGTCTGCTGGGATGTACGTGGGACCTTGGGATGGTGTAAGCCCGACGATAGTCGTATTGATGCTTGTTGCGTTCTGCAGCATTGCGTCTCTGCGATGGTTGTTTGGTGGGACGCTATTCTCAATGGCGCTCTCTGCTTCTTGGATTGACTCACGCCTGAGTAGCTTTGCCCAAGTCGGGTCCCTTCATTACGGGTCTGCAGACTGTCTGCCCTCCACGATGTTTTATATAACAACATAATATTATATCTCTGTAACTTTCCCACCTTTGAATGATTGAAGGCAACTTGTCGGTGGGTGAGACAAACATGATCGAAAATGCATTTACTCAACGTCAGTGACACAAACCCTTTCCGATGGCGAATTATTACTCTTATCTTATAACTGCCTTTTGGCTATATCTGCCGTTGTATTGGTTGGTGGAGCATATGTGTCGACCTCATGCGGGTGGTAGCTGGCGGGAGGATCTGAGGAGACTCTCAAGGCTGCGGCCGAAAGCCCCACAACGTGGGACCCCATTCCCTTGAGGTGAGCGGTGGACTCATGACACGCTCTGCGGCTAGTAGCCGTGCTGATCATGCAATTGGTGGTGATGCCATACACTTACATAACGTCTGCAGGAGCGGCGGTCTGGCAGGTGGTGGCACTCACGGAGGGTTTACGGCCAGTGTGCCTATTTGCCTAAACCGTGTGACGTACATTCACTGTGGCTGGATTCGTTCGTATTTTGTTTGGCGTTTACACGCATTGACATGCGCGACTTCGGTCGATGTTTGTGCTTACGCACTAACAAGGGGCCAAGCCTCTTTTACTGGTTCGCCAGTTATTTTGCTGTGGACTACGGTCCAGTTCCTGAATTAGCGTTCCCTTCGGGGGGGAGTGCATCAAAATGGTTGGCACTCACCGTGCACGGCGTGTGTGGGGCCGTGTACCTCCCCCTACATTTTTTTTCAATAAATGTAGGAGAGCGAAGCCCTTGTATCGGGTATTTTGTATAAATATATTTTGAGCCTTTTCCGAGCGGGAAGGGATAATTAATAATGTAAACCTGATGCAAGTGGAATAGGGACGTTTTATGTTCTTAACCTTTTTCGAGCCCTGTCTTCGTGAACGGGGTTCACTTAGCTTATAAGGCACTACCAACAGCTTTCAATTGCTCTAGTGAATATTCATTCTTCCAAAAGACACCTAAAAGAACTAAGTTACTAAACAAACACAACGTAAATAAGGGTCCTAACTAAGACGATCACGCCAAAATATTACAAACGGCCTATTATTAAACCTTTAGAAAGATCATTTAGAAAGATCTAAACATAATTTATTAATCCTGGTCACATATATATAATTTTTATCGAAAAGGGGTAAATTAATTATATCTAATATAATTATTATTATGAGAGGGGGGGGGGGAAGCGTTACAGTGTGAAGATAGTAACCTCTGGATTTTTGCATCATATATTAACACTAAAGATAATGTCACTGCTGATTTTCAATCAAGGAAGAATATTGGACACACTGAGTGGGAGCTAGGACAGATGTATTATAGGAAAATAGTGCAAACCTTCGGTACACCTGAAATAGATTTGTTTGCCTCTCGAACAAATGCTAAGTGCAAAAAGTATGTGTCGTGGCACCCAGACCCTAATGCAATCAATGTAGATGCTTTTACATTATGTTGGTCCCAACTTTTCTTCTACGCTTTTCCACCATTTTCACTAGTATTAAAAACTTTAGAAAAAATAATTTTAGACAAGGCGGAAGGCATAGTTGTTGTACCTTAGTGGTCAACGCAGCCCTGGTTCCCACTGTTTAAAAAATTGTTGGTAAATGATTTTATTGTTTTCCAACCCAATAAAAAATTACTTACCCTGTGTAATTACAGATCACCGCACTCTCTTCACAAGAACCTATCTTTGATGGCAGGTCTGCTCTCCGCCAGAAATTTTTAAGCACAGCCATTGGTGAGGAAGCCACCAATATTATGTTGAATTCAGTATCAGAAAATACACTTAGGCGGTACTTACCTTACCTCAGGGACTGGCTTATATACTGTTCATCTGACAATATTAGTACAAATACTGCTAATATTTCACAAATTATAACTTATCTCACAGTAAAGTTTGATGAAGGTATGTCTTATGAAAGCCTTAACTCCATAAGATCAGCCTTGTCGTTATTGATAGGTTCTCATATTGGAATAAATGATCAAATAAAAAGATTATTTAAAGGGTTCTATAGGTTGAGACCAAATAATCCCAAATATCAATTCACTTGGAATATATCAGAAGTGTTCAATTACCCTGAGCTTCATCAGATGGATACAAAGGATGTAAAATTCCAAGCAAAGAAAACAGCAATGCTGTTTGCTCTAGCAACAGGACAAAGAGCACAAACCTTAGCATCAGTGGAAATTAGACAAAGTAAGAATAGAGAATGACAATTGTATTACAATCTCCAAATTGTTAAAGACATCAGGCCCCTACAGACAGCAGCCATTGCTTGTATTACCTTTTTTTGATTTAAAACCTAATGTTTGTCCTGCTAGAGCAGTGATTAATTATTTGAAGTTAACTGAACAAATAAGAGGCATCATAAAAAAATTATTTATTTCATTTAAGAAGACGCAGATGGCTTAGGCCAGGGTATTGTGTCGTTCCTTGAGTGAGACCTGTGTCCAAGAGTGAACTTATAAACGGCTGCAATGGATGGATGAGTGAATAATTTTTACTTAGTAACATATGTTTTAATAATAAGTTTTGGTTACATAATATTTTATACAACATTATAACATTAAAAGAAACTAAAAAAGAAAACGTAAGTACGTAAACGTAAAAAACTCAGAGCAATCTCCATGGTAAATGCGAAAGGAAATGCAAAGAGATGCAACATTTCTTCGCAGCGCCAGTGAATCGAGCCGATCGGAAAGCCTCGGTCGTCGATGATTCAAGCCGCTCTGCGCTGGATGCGGTCAAGTGGAAGGAGCTGGTACTGGGGAGCCCCAGCCCAGAGATGGGAATAGTATTCCATGTGTGGCCGAACCTGCGCCCTTGTAAAGTTGCAGGCAGCGTGCTGGCATGAAATACTGTCCCGCTCTGCTGAGCACGCCAAGCTTTTTAGTGGCCAATTCGGCCTTCTCTTCCAAGTGACCATGAAATTGCACGTCACTCGATATGTCAACGCTGAGGATACCGATACTGGCTGAGGCAATAAGGGGAGTGCCTTGAAACGGAAACGTAAACGTAAAAGTATTATGACTTCCCCCATTTTAGTGCCGAGAACTCTGGCTGCGTTTCCTTGCTGAATGGTTATGCCTTAGCCTTTTGGCTTTTGGAAAAGTACCAGCCCTTCTCGCCAGTAGCAACGACCAGTCTCGGATACAGTTCCTTTAGAATCTGAGCCGCGAGTGGAGCCTACGGAACAATGGTCTACACAAGTCGCATAAATAACATTTATTTAAGTAGGGTTATGTATTTTGTGAATACTTATGTAATAAATTTGTCATAACTATGTGCAGTTTGTGTGCAAAATCGCTTAATGTGTATTAGCCTTCGATGCTATTCTAAATATGCAAAGTACGACTTCAAGCTTTTGAAACAATATGGTGCTTAGGAAGAATGATAGGTTGACAATTTACAGTATAACTTAATTCTTAAAATCATATAGGTATATTAACGCAGCTGCAACCAATATTTAGCCCCCCAAGTAACTTTCTTAAGCTTTAAATATTGACTAAAAGTTTTCAAAAATATGTCTTAACATAAATCGTATATTAATTTTGCACCAATTTTTTATGTTAAATAAGGAACATTAATCTTTAAAGTTTATCCGCAACCTATTTCACATAAGCGCTTATTCGGCTTAGAGGCAAGCGCGGTCAAATTCAGGTAATTTGCAATACTGGAGAACGCAGAGATTATTTCAAGTAAATTATGTTATCCCTAGTAATGAAAATATGCTTTTATTATCATAGAACAGTTCCTGCTGTGAACGCAAATTACGCACTTTGACGAGGAATTGCGCAAACTAGCCCGGTTCAATCGATCAATTAATTTGTAGGCTATATAAATTCCGTGCGGGGATCGAACCCTTGGTCTTTATTGCTTATTATATTTGACTGACATCTTGGTTTAATGATCATTTACGCGATTCGTATCGGACCAAAAATCAGTTGGGTTTTCTGATAAGAAAATATCGTTAGCATGCTGGAGTCAGGCAGTTCTTGGTATTTCATCCCCTTGGCTCGTAAAGCACGTAAAGTCGTTGGTCCAGTGCCTGATCTTATGTCTGATTTCTGTCTATGTTTAATTTTTCGACTTTTGTCGCGGTTATTTTTAATTTTAGAAATTTACATACGATGTCCTAAACCATTAACTTTTTTATTCAATACAGATTGTAAATAATACATAAGTTCAATAATGAAAGCTACTTTTTTGTTTAACTTACCACTGGTTTGGAAAAAAACCTGCGTCCTGGGAAGAAACAGCAACAAACCGAGCGGGACTTAAAAAAATAGCTTACAATCTCTTGTATGTTTACACAATCAATAACACATAATAAATGAGAAATAGCTTGGTAGCGATCCCCTCATTCCCGGGGGTTATTATCATCCATAAGTTATTCAATATGTGTAATATTTGTTTGCTATATTCCTTTGTTACAAAACGTATTTCAGCAAAAGTAGTACGTAAATAAATATAATTTAATGTTGCAGAAAATATTTCGCAGTTCGTGAGTTATAAGAAGTCCATATGTCAACTCCAGCCTTTGTAGTAAGCAATTTCATTTCATATCGTCAGAAGAAACGAGGTGTTAAGCGATCATCAATAATTTAACGTTGTTTGCTTGGAACGAATATGATGAAAGGAAAAACTGTAGATAAATAAGTACCTTTGATAGTCAAAGCAATTTGGATTGTTTTTTGGAAAAAATCGTAATTTAGTAAAATGTTTGAATTAAAACTAGATTTTTTCTGTAGTTAAATATCATCTGCGTAACCAGTTTTTGGCCAAAATGTCAGTGAAAGGATAAGTGTATAGTACAGCTCTAAGGCGCGGGTGGGTATTGGCAATACAAAATAAAGAAACATATTTATCTGAAAACTGGCAAAGTGTGCACATAAATAATGACAGCGCTGCTGTGCTTTAAACAAAATCAGTGTCAGATTGTCACAGCGTTCGTAAACAAAATAAAGAACTCGTCTTCTCGCCCGCTTGAAGTTGACTAACTTTGTGAGCAATTTATTAGTACCGTAGTGCCTGTCTAGTATGTCGTATACATACATACATAGAAGTTTTTTTGTGGTAGGAGTGGAAAGAATTCTGAAACAGTTTTTCAATTTCTCGGGCGCGTAAGAATCTTCAGGATATTTTATCCATTTCCTTTCAATCGGGCACGTTGTTATTAAACGTTTCAATGTCTCGTTAGTGTAGTGGTCGTAAACGAGTTTGCTGATCATGAGGTTCTGGGTTCGAATCCTGAGCCAGAACAAAAATCTTTTATTGGGATTTCTTTACAAAAATTCTAAGTCCCGGAAAACTGAATTTGGCGGTGTTTCACCCCCGTGCCTCGGAAAGCACGTAAAGCCGTTGGTCCTGCGTCTGATTTCTCTCCGGTCGTGTCGGTATTATCTTAGGTATCTGGTAATCTATAATTAAGACAACATTTAGTTTTAATTCTAGAATACAAATATTGTTACATATCAATAAATGGAGGTCTTTTAGATTATTCTTAATAAAATAATTAAATAAATAAACGAACGTAACTCAACCTGGAACTAAGTGAGGCATGGAGAGAGCGTTGCTTAAAGTCCATGTTTAATTTTAATTATTTGTATTCCTACTGAGTGGACATACCAATAACACGAGCTCAAGATACTACAACAAGGTAACTTTTTATAAAATATATAAAAAGTAATAAAATAATAATTAAAATTTTCATCTCCTATATTGACACGATTAATTTTTTTTCCAAATTAAAATGAGGTTACTTTTGACATGCAGTCTATTCAATAAAACAGAATCAATACAGTCGTCGTAGAAATCGCGTTAAATACATATAATAAAATACACTCGAATTGATCACCTTCTTCTCTTATGAAGTTGGTTAAATGTATACAACATCAATGAAGACGATTATCATATTTCACTAATGGTCAAACAACGTCGATCCGTTTCATCGTTTATTGGTCAAATTTATAGCCTCGAAACGATCCTGGGGATGTGGTGGTTGATGGTTATAATAAATTTATTACTTAAATGGGAATTGCATGTCGCGTCGTTTTATTTATTTACATACTCATTGCATTCATTCATTTTGTCAAGTATGTTATAGAAGTAGAAATAGATATTTTTTTTAATTCATTAAAGATTTTATATACAAAACTTGCTATAAATTATTCGAATACATAATTTACAAATGGTTTAGAAAATATCTTTGTCCTGGGAAGAACCGTCAAGGAACCCAGCGGAACATTTTCATTGAAAAATATTAGTTTACAGTCATTGAATATTTTACATAATTAACAACACAAAACAAATTAGAAATCCCTTGGTATTAGTAGCGATCAGCTCATTCTCAGGGGTTATTATCATACATAAATTCCTTAATATTATTGTATTCCTTTTTATACAATCTTTGTTTAATAAAGTTTTTGAATTTTGCAGAGATCGAATTATGTATATTTTCTGGGATTTTGTTATAAAAACGTATATACGTCGTCCCAAGAAGGACTGACTGACTGACTCTATGGTTATTTTGTTTTAAAAACGTATGTACGTCGTCCCAAGAATGACTGACTGACTGACTCTATGGTTATTTTATTTTAAAAACGTATGTACATCGTCCCAAGAATGACTGACTGACTGACTCTATGGTTATTTTATTTTAAAAACGTATGTACATCGTCCCAAGAATGACTGACTGACTGACTCTATGGTTATTTTGTTTTAAAAACGTATCTACGTCGTCCCAAGAATGACTGACTGACTGACTCTATGGTTATTTTATTTTAAAAACGTATGTACATCGTCCCAAGAATGACTGACTGACTGACTCTATGGTTATTTTGTTGTAAAAACGTATGTACGTCGTCCCAAGAATGACTGACTGACTGACTCTATGGTTATTTTATTTTAAAAACGTATGTACATCGTCCCAAGAATGACTGACTGACTGACTCTATGGTTATTTTATTTTAAAAACGTATGTACATCGTCCCAAGAATGACTAACTGACTGACTCTATGGTTATTTTGTTTTAAAAACGTATGTACGTCGTCCCAAGAATGACTGACTGACTGACTCTATGGTTATTTTATTTTAAAAACGTATGTATCGTCCCAAGAATGACTGACTGACTGACTTGGTTATTTTATTGTATGTACGTCGTCCCAAGAATGACTGACTGACTGACTCTATGGTTATTTTATTTTAAAAACGT